TGGGACAACCTTTAAATCAGCTGTTCAAACTCAGGTGTGAGGACTCAGTGAATCAGTCCTCTAATTAGTAATCTAACTGAGTTGCTGCGAAAACCCGCACACACAACGGCCCTTTCTGGATAAGACTGGCCACCCCTGCGTTAGTGGATTGATCTTGGTTCCTTTTCAGCAGCACCACACCTGAAAAGCTCTTCAAGGACGACCTCAGCAGTCTTTACATTCATCCCAAGGTACAGAACAAGGTCAATTCAGGTAGCAAGCAAACATTGTGATGTTCAGGCTCAGGATGAGGGCTTCCTTCCAACACCACCTCTATCCAGTGGCCAGACAACCCCCTACCAAGCAGTCAGATCGAGGCTACAAAAAAATATGGTGGGGGGCAGGAACTGGACAAGACCAAAAAATCAAAAAGACATTGCAACTAGTTAATCAGCCCACAAGGCAATGACTTGGGGATTCTTCAAGATTAACCATGTCATAGCTGATTTTACGGAAGTGTGGGGGTTCTCTAAAACTCCAGGCGGAGGAAGATGATTACTAGCAGGTTTATTGTCAAGCCTTAAATAATGTCAGCATATCCACTCCATGGCTAGCAAAAGCTTCGGCCAAATGAAAACATCTCCATGATACTTGATGCTATACTAGAGACTAGTATAATTAATTGGAAGGATACAGGAAAAAAAAAAGTTGAGTAAGACCAAACGACGTGACGGTAATTATCAACTACTGCATTCATCTCATCGCCACCCCAAATCTGCAGCACTCGCAGTTCCTAATTGAGCATGAGCATTTGGAAAAACAAAATTAGCCCTGAACCGAGAGCCATTTATATCACAGCTGCTGACTAGTGAAGCTTTTCGTAATATTAAGTTTAGAACAGCCAGATATGATCTAGCCGCATTTGATGATGCCAAAATTTTAAAAGGATGCAGTGGGTGGGACTGAGAGAGACAACTATATTTATTAAAAACGTCTGGCCTTGGCCAGGGACCAGGACAACAGGCTGTAAGACGCCCAGTTTACAAACTACTACGCTACATTCGACAGGAATCCATGTGAGTGACAGCGCAGGGACGTCCAGCTGCCATCTTCACGAAGGGGAGCCTCGTACTGCACGAGGAGCAATCGTGCAAGTCACTGGAGCCACGGATAGGACTACTGCAGCCAGCACCCCGAAGCACATGCACCGTGCAGTGGTCAAAGCTGTAGCCAAAGGTGCTGTTGGTTCACAGCCTAAGAGAGGGGCTGCTACTGTACACTTAAGTTACTGAACCTGATTTGTTTTTTCTGGAAATGTAGAACATGTTTAAAAATAGGTCTTTGGGGTTTAAAATGGTCATGTGGATGGTATTCATTCAGATGTTGGCAAACTGAAGTGCCTGCTAGGGGAAAATGAGGCACAAAAACCCACTAAAACGCAGTAGGTAATTGTTCTGCCATACCTGTGCGGGCTTACGTATACAACATACAGGCAAATGTACGACTAAAGAAAGGAAATGGTCGAGGATTAAATCAGCACCATGTTCCCTCCCTGCATTCAATTGGGCGCCCAAATTGCAAACCAAACAGGTAATGAAAAGCAGGTCTGTCACAAGCAAAATAATGGACATATGACCAGTTTCAGCAATGAAATACTAATTTATTCTGACTGGTCAGCAAAAAGGAATGCCAGACAGGAAACCCAACATCACAAAGTGGTTGGTGAGCACCATCTGAAGGACCCAGCCCTGAACGAACACAGAGAAATCCTAAACACTGCAGTTTACCCAGGTGTGAAGGAACTGTAACTCAACACCCACACTAGTGTTGACCAAAACAGTCATTTTATAAAATGAAAGGCCTTGGCATCGAGGAGCCTTCTACATAATCTCTCCAAGAGCCAACTCTGTGGTGAACATGACAATGCAAGCCAGAATAAAAGAAAAAAGAAAAACACTATGAAGCTGTTGCTGGGATTTATTAGGCATCAATTAGTGGACTGGAGGTTTTACTGGATCAGACTTCCACAACAATGACGAACCATATGTTCCACATCAGAAGGCACAACACTTAGCTGATCAGACATGCAGAACATTCCTCAGCAGTGAGTTACACAAGCCAGGTATGACATGTGATTCTCTTTCTCAGCCGCTACTTCGACCTTCTGTTACTATCCTTGTAGGGATGTAAGGCTGGAACAGCAATGGAAACGAGGTGGGGAGATGGAAGAGTAAAGGAAGAGGCTGGAAAATACAGAGGATACCTGATAAGGTAAGAAAACCACTGGTTATTGTTTTACAATTACACCGATACTATGATGACGGCAATAAAGTTGAACCCAAAATAGCAGTATCAGAAAAGGGTGAACGAAGAATCAAAGTCCGTAGCTACGCAGAAGTCAAAAACACGGAATGGGGGAATTACACGTGAACAAGAGAGCATGAACAAGAGAGTATCAAGCTTGCTGCAATCTTGTCTCCATGGACCCTTTGCAAAATAATAATAATAGATACTCTCTCTTTAACACTTCCCAGTATTGAACTTTGCCACTTGAAGGCCAGCATTGTGCTGGTGAGCACTTTTAGTGTTCAATACAGAAGACAAGCTTCATGAATTGGGTAGAATGGGGCAAGGCAGAGAAACTGGAGTAAGGATGATTTACTGGATGGGATTTACAAGACATGGGACACGCAGGCACAAACGCGCATGTGAAAAGTTTTCCGCACAGGACATAACATTTTGCACCGTACTCCGTTTTGCTTTCGATGAACGTCGACCGGTTGGGACAGCGGTCATCAGTACAACGCCGGCAGTACCGCCACGGTGGCAAAGTTCAACGCTGGGAAATGAAACCAACTGATGTCACCCTCAAGCCCATGGTTAAAGATTGACTCATCGACAGGGTGGGCTGGCAAGGCGAGGCCCGAGCTCACTTCAAGAAGCCCGCAAACCATTTAAAGAGATCCAGACTCCACAGACTGGCAGAACCTACATATCCCAACGAGATCAACGTGTTGTAAGAGTATCCCACTGAGCCCAGTGCTGGAACTGGGGAAGGGGGCGAGTCAGATATCGCAGAAGCCCGGAAAACAATGAAGCATGACGTGTTACTAACGGCACAGAAAACATCTTGCCTGTAAGTGACGGTATTAACAGACTAGAGAACGTTTTAAAAAGCAAGCTAAGCACCTTGTGCCTGGCCATCTCATCCTCTCCCCTAAAAAGCAATAACATCACTCTTGCTGTAGGATGGGAGACAGTCACCAGTGCATTGGGGGGGTTACATCACAACAAGAGGACATCTCCAGTGCAGATTTTATAGTGGGAATGCACTCTAGGGAGCCAAAAAGAAACCAAAATGCATTTAAAAAGAGAAACTGCTCAGCGTCTCCCTCTCCGCATCATCACAAAGGCACCAACATGTCAGGGGTATCGGAAGCTAATCTCTGAAAGCTAGATATCAACAACAACAACTGTCAGTACTACTGTGCTCAAGCAGAATTCAGCACTTTAATTCTCCTGGTCTTCACAGCAGCTTCCATAAGCATTGTAAATCAGAACAGTGCAGCTGTGTGGATGGGGTGTCTACGTAACCTATCACTGGACCCTCCCTGTCCAGCTCTGATTCTTTAAGGCATGACTCATTCCTTACATAGTAAGGTCCAGTGTCACTCAACCATAACGTACAAACCCATTGTAATGTCTCAACGTATCCATGACAATGGACAGTGCATCCTGTTATCTACTTTTAGATTTTAAAAAAACGTTATTCAGGCATGACTAACTGCAGACACGGTGTAGACATAGTGACTGCACCCTCCTTAGGTGAGATAAGGCACTTTATCAACGAGGCCCTTATTGCCCTGCAGGTAAGTCACCTAGGCTCAATGGACAAGCCTGCGCTGTCACCATCTCGCTCCGCTCCGGCATTTCTAAGAATTACAAAGTACATCCTTAAATATTCAGTATTATTCCTGAGAGTAATGCACACCCTTTATGAGGTGCAAAATCTTAGCAATGTGCAAATGTTCCAGAGACCCAGGGGCAAATTAGTTAATATGCAGGAAATGCATGTTAGTGGACTATGAGAGGGAATATGAGTACCTGGAGGAAGCACGCGTAAAACAGGGCGCATAAACATTACAGAAAGACGGGAAACCAGATTTAAATCCGTAGTCCTGAACGCGCAAAGAAATGTAGTGCCCGTGAATGGCTTAAACATATGGTTGAATTACGTTTGTACACCGCTAAAACACCACTATTTAAACAGGACGAGCTCTCTCACACACACTCCCAAAAGGGGAGTTACCAGACACCTAGAGAGCCTTGCCCCACCTAGAAGAATGGAGATTCCCACAGCACTCCGATGTCACTCCGATGGTGTTGGAAAGAAGTCCAACAAAAACGCGACGCAGCTACATTTCAAGTCCTAATTTTTCCTCATTACGGCGACAGCTAACAAATAAGATTATGGCACCGACGGTTTATTAAGTTACATTTCCTTACAGGTTCGCTAAACATGTCCTATATAACATTACATCCCAGATGGTGTAATATTAAATGCAACAAAAGCAATATCACGAGGTTACAAGGGGGGAACAACAAATAACAGGCTTCAATAGCCTATTATTCTACATTTATTGTTTGCGAACGGAAAAAACTCTAAGCTTAATGTCACAAATAAATTATGCATTACTTAGCGCATTGCTTAGAGCAAACCTAAAACTGCATAGCCGCAATACTATTCAATAAGAAAAAGTTTGCATTCTTCGCTGTTTTTGAAAGCTTTTCTAGCCAGAAGACATCTGGTCGTGGAAAAGGGGACAGGTGCGGTGCGCGTCCCAGCGGACGCCGATCCCTTCGCCCGTTGAAGTTGGACGGGACGGCGGCGTCCTCTCGGGCCGATCTATCCATTTATCAAATATCACAGTAAACCGCGATTATAAATGCACCATGTAGCTTATTAAGATGTCAGAGGCGTATGACGGATTTATTGGGGAAATTTGCATGCATGGCTTTACCTATGGAAACGAGACGGATGTTTTCCCGGTCCAAAAACTCGAGGGCCACCGAGACGTTCTCCAACTTCATTTGCCTGAAGGTGGGTCTCGAGTGGTACTTTCTGTACATCTTCTTCTGGCTGAGGATCTCCAGCAGGGCGATAAGCCTCAAGCCGTCGCTCAGGTCGAACTGCAGATCGGCGATCCGCTTGTTCACGCACTTCAGGTGCTCGTTGCACCACCGGGTGAAGGTGTTCTGCTGGATCTTCTTCCACGGCGCATCGTCCGCCAGGTCCTTCTCTGTCACCGGCATCTTGCTGTAGCCCGACTACTTTTGGTTGCCGATCGGAGCTCGTTAGCGTGCGCTGTTGTTGCAGAGATGGGGGGTTTGATGCAACTTCTCGTCCTGCAGCCCGTCTTTCTCTACTGGGTGAATGAAGATTAAGCGCATGCGCATCGGGCTATAAAGAGCCGTGACGCCGCCTTCACTGGGGACAGCTCCAGATGCGGGTTTCGGGAGTAAGGGTTTGCTTCAGGCTTCTGAAAAGCACAATCATTTTTAACAAATACAGAAATTGAATAGCTATACATACAGCTTGCGAGTTTTCTACTTCATAATTTTATATTCATCAGCATTTCTTTTCACTATGGTTTAGATTACTCATGAAGCTTTGTGGTCACTGTAAAGAAATGCATAGCATGTAACAAAAATATAATACCCGGTGCCTGACTGCATAGGTAGCATTATATCGGTCATGTGTATACATACTCATACTGTATTGCCGGTATGTGTAACAGTCATCTACGAGTGCCTCTAGTGTGAATACTGAACCCTAATGACACATCGGGTGGGGGTAATCAGACACTTGGAAATAACACATCGGTGTTAAGTGCCCGCTGGCGCTATATAAACGCTGGTGTGCAAAAGTATTTGGATATTTCTTGTCAACGGCGTAATTCTCAACATATTAACTTCGTTTTAAGTTGTACAAGTGATATACTGAGTGATGACAACTACTTTGCTACTCTTGGGGGGGGGGTGTGTAACCTTTCATTAATCCGTCGGAGTTCCACGATCGGGCTCCTTGACTCGGCTCTCCACACCTCGCGCGCCCTGGCACAGTTCCTGCACTTACCTCATCTGTTGGCCCCGCCCCTGCCCTGCCCTGCTTCTGTTGACATCAATCTTTATGTTTACTCCAGGACAGACAGACCCTATTATTACAAATACACCATTTTTCTTTTCATCAGGGCTTTGCACTGGGGGCGGGAGGGGGCACCATGCTTGCAGACACTGATGATTAGCTCATCTGCAGGCTCCGTCCCCAGACGGTAATTAACGTCGACAGAGAGGACAGACACCGATATGCCATACTTTTCTTCCATGGATTTTATAGTAAACTTTCAAAAACAAACAGCATTCTGAATGTTTAGTTTATAGAACAGTGCTGTAATATGCTATTTTTAATTTCTGAAAAATCCAGCTTAAGCAATCAAAACCTCTTAATGGATGCAAACTGCCAGAATGTTTGTGTAATTCATAATTTCTTCTATTAACTCATCCAAACTTTCTGGGAGTATCAGTATTATTATACTCCCCAGATGCCTGTGATAACATGATTGGCACCAAGAAGCTGTAGACAAAATAAGCCAAAATGATTCAGTCATGGTGGCCCACCCATTGTCCCATGTCACTGTGGCACCAGTGATATACGCCATCTGTCATCCTTCTCCAGGAGTTCAGGGTCTCAGTCAGCCTGTGTGGATCCCAAAGGCCATCTCATCGCAATAAACCATCTTTGGAAGGTCCGGTTGCGACATAAAGGCACTTGCGCATTCACGGCTCTTTGGTAACAGCACCAGAACAAAGCACCAGGTGTTCCTGGCAGACTTGCAACAGATACTATCGCCTTTACCGCAAAATTCTGGCCTTGAGTCACCGGCAGAGTCACTTTGCATAGAGTCTGAGAAAATACCCTGATCTTAGAAAGTTCCATTAGATGTGTTTCGAGTTCCACAGAGCAGGGTGTTAGCGCCTCAGCACTCCTGCCGTGAGCTGGCTGTTGGTGACTAAACAGTAGGAATAAGCAAATCAACAGCAAATAAAACACATCATATGCTTAAAACGATGATGGTGATACTGTGTGTAGGTTAATAGGAATTCTTTCATGTTCACACTGATGATTTATTATTTAGCAGATGCTTACATCTATAGCGACAAACATTTTTTTCCGTCAACGTAGGGTCAGCAATTGGGGGTTAAGGGTCTTGATCACTGGCCTCATGGTGAAACCACCCTGTGATTTGAATGCCCCCCCCCTCCCAGCAGATGCATGCACACAGGTGAGAGCAAAGTTTGGGGTTAGCATGGTTATCCATTTATCCAGCACCTCTGGATTACTTATTTATGAGGTTAAGTGACAAGAAATCAGCTTTGAAGGAACTGACTGTCCCAATATTCTGATCACCACTTATGTGAGCTGAATGACATCATCACTGTTATTTGCAAAATTGCCCTTTGCTTGTAGTTCAGGTATGGCTGTGATTTAAACTATTCTGGGTATAAGCATGTTTGTGCAATCCGGGGTGTGTCCTGGTGAACGTCTTGTGTATCTTGATGTAGGAGCCAGGTGGTCTGGAGCACAACTGATTACTTAAAGAGGTCAGAAAATTCAATAAAAGCCCCCTTAGAAAATGTCACCTGCCTATTCTAAGTGTAAACAATTGAATATTCATTAAGCTTGATGTGTTCCTTTATCCAAACTACTAGCTGAGTACAAGGTCAGCAGAAATCCTGACTATTCAACAGAACACAAATATGCAAACTTTAATCACTTTTATATGAATAAGAACTGGAGTAAGACAACTTGTACAGTAACTTCTCAGGCTAAGGGCTACTACTTAGTGTAAGAATTTTTAATAAAAAGTACTTTAAATGTCTCATTTTGTCTATAGAACATCCTCAAAGGACAACGTTACAGTAGAGACACTCTACGAAGTGGATGTGCAACCGTTTCCTAATACAACCACAAGAAAGTTTCTATGACAAGGTTTGCATTACAGAAGCCAATGAGTCCCCTCAACTTCCGCTCTTTAACCCTGAAGATGGGTTACATGTCCCCTGTAAAAATGTTGATCTTCCTGTGTTCCTGTATTTTTCCCACATATACTATGAAATATGTTGGAAGAAATGGTGTTGGAGCCACTGGAGATCAGGTGGAGTAAGGCTGGAGTAGTGTGCAAAAACAGAGCAGTAGACACCAACTGATGGACTCTGCATCTGGACCGAGATAACAGAATCAGGACTGTGCAAACAACCACGTTCGAGTTAACACATTTACATTATTTTTTTTTGGATGCAGTGGACCTTGGCTTAGTGTTACTGCTGGAATTAGGCCCTTGGGGAAAAAGTTGGGCACCTGAGGATGAAGGAGCTGCCAGTCATCTAATCAGAAAGGAGTGGAATGGTTAAAAAACGGTCTGAACACCTCAAACTACATGCACAAAGGAAACAGACGCTGCAGCAGAGTAAGGCTCTTTTTATTAAAATCATGCACATCACATGTGTTAGTGCAAATACTTTAGATCTGTACTCAGGAAACTAATGGGACTTTCCATTTCTTTACAAAATAGATTTTAAACAATTTACTAAAAAAAAAAAAAAAAAAAAAGTAATTTTGAAGCTGAGCATCCCGAAACAATATTTGCAAACAAAACTATATACAGAAGGGTACACTGTGTACCACTAGCTTGGGATGAAGTGACCAGGCAGCTTGGATTGTACATGAATTTTTGACAGAGAAGAAAGTTCATTTAACAGACAATGTGCAGGACATTTTCGCAATAAGTTTTAAACACCAGATATTTCATAAATCCAAATGCTACCCCCACCCCTTCCCACAAAGAAACCCCCAATTCTAAAGTTTCTTACCGATTCACCCCATTAAAGACATTTAACAATGGAAAGTTGAGGTGGTACAAAACAAAAACAAAACTTAAAAAAAAAAAAAAAAACTACCATAAGAAAGGCCACCCCCCCCTCCATTTAGCTGGCATAAGATTTGTGCGAACGCGGTTTGTAAAATGTTACACCTTCAGACTGATTCTCAAGATCTACGGTCTTTCAAGATTCTGCAATGCATCGGGGCATTGAACTTTTGGACTTAGAGTATAATGAATCCAGTGATAGGCCAAACCATGAGTAACATCCAGAACATTCCAGAAAACCCTAAAAATACAGCAGACAGTACATGCGCATGTGATATTTTTTTTTTTACTCTCTGAAACACTAACCACCCCATTCGCAGCCAAATAATAGGAAAAGTGGGGTGGGGATATAATGGCGTCTGGGGACGGACTACGCTCCGATGTTACTCATAATCCTCAAGCAGCAAAAGAGTGGGACATTGGGCTTGTGTTCGCCTACCAGGGGAAGTACTGGGCTCACATTCCAGCCAGACCTGTCCCTATGATAGTCAATGAACTAACTGCACAGGTTATTCACTCCAGATATACACCCACCTGATTCCCAACCCCCTTTTCTAAATGGGGGGGGAGGTAACAAAAGGCTAGTTAGGGAAAATAAGGCCGCAAACTCATCATAGAGAACCCGTTTGGTGCATGCAGATCGCACGGGGAGGATCTAAATCCCCCCGGTCTATGTAGTGTAGGCCAGACGACAGGGAGGACGGCTCTCTGGACATTCGGCCGCTGTTCAAGCAGGACTGCAGAGACATTCCGGCTTGAAAGGGGCCCACGTTAGTGCTTCGTAATCCCGATTGTACTGACATGCTAGTCACCTCTAGGGACTGTAGTGTTGCCTGTATTATGAATAGCTGTTCATAATACATGTTAGAGAGCAGGGCAGGGCAAAGCCTCCAGCGCCTCCCTGCTGATTCCACTGGGGTCTCGCTTCACGGAGGGATACAGATGGCACTTCGGCAGAGGGTGGCCCCTCCCACCGCGAGCCACACGCACCAGATGATTCGCTGTTACCCCGAAATCTGGAATACTACATTTACATCCGACGTGGCAAACCACAGACTCACAATTTGCCCAGAATAGGTTTGGTACCCATGGAAAATAAAAACCAAAAAAAAAAAAAAAAAAAAAGCCTAGTTTAGGCCACTTTAAAGATTCCCATCAAACTGATTAAGAAAAAAAGAATTAACCTCCGATAAAGTATTTTATCTATAGCAGAAGTTAACTTTTATTCTCTATATATTTATATTTATTTATATATGTACACACACACGCACACAGGTAGACTTTGTACAAGTAAAAGCAGAGAGCCAGCTTACGCTCTCCGCTCGGGGGGGGGGGGGGGGGCGCTGATGCAGGGCCTGGCTCAGGTGGCACTCCGGGACAGGCCGGGGTAGAGGACAACCACGGTCACCGCCACCATCACTGCCACCACTGGCATCCAGGGCAGCCAGGCACTCTGAAAGAGAGGACAGGAGTCTGAGGGGGGCATCATCCCGCTGGTCGGCCAGGGCACTGCACACTCACACGGGCAGAGCCAAGCGCCAGAGCGGGAGGACGAAGAGGAGAGGTGGAACAATGGCTCCTTTCGAGAAATGAGAAAGGCGTTACGGCGCTACTAAGAGACCAATCTGAACGTCAGCAAGAGGGAACAGAAATCGCCAAGGTGAGAGAGAACCCGGAAGCATTAGTGATCCAGGCGACGAGAGGATGGGAGTTCATCAATTCAAAAAAAGTGAGACAGAGAGAGAGACAGAGAGAGAGAGAGAGAGAGACAGACAGAGAGACAGACAGAGAGAGAGAGACAGAGAGAGACAGAGAGAGAGAGAGAGAGACAGAGAGAGAGACAGAGAGAGAGAGAGAGAGAGAGAGAGACAGAGAGAGAGAGACAGAGGCCACTTTGAGTGTTATCTGCCATGCACCAATGAGGAAGACACACGGGACACAGACGTGAACACGGACATGAAGGACACAACAGGAGCACTGGGTACCTTTCCATCACAACTGCCTGTAGCACCAATACAGGAAAGCCAGGATAAGGGCGAAGACTATGGCCTGGAGAGGCTGCAATGTGGGCGGCTGAAGGAGGGAAGGCACAGTACAATCAATCAAACGGAAGCGCCGCAAAACGAACCAAAACTGAACTAAAGGCAGAAACAGGAGCTGTGGGGGTCAGGCCTGGGTCTCGCACAGGCAATGGGGTCCTTGACGAGGGAGGGGGCACAGATATATATTAAATATAGATATACACACACACAAACACATGCACAGCTGGACTTTATAAATACTTTTAAACATTTGGAGCAGAGGTCTCAAACTACAGGCCATTGGGCCAGATCGGGCTGCAGAGATGGGCTTGAACAGCCCATTACTTGTTTTTTTGAATCGTTATTAAATCTGGCCGGCAGGTTGATCTTTTGATTTCCTTAAGGGACTCCATTGTCCTTAAGGGATTTTGTGCCATTTGTGCCAAACATGTCAACATGCACACTGTTCATCTCAACAGAACACGATTCTCTTTTCAACTTTGATCTGAACATCAGCCCAGACAAAACTATCTTGACAATGAGACTCTGTTGACTGCACAACTGACAAAATATTTGTCAGTTCAACTTCAGACGACGGGTCGTCCTCCTTGTCGTTTGACTGCATCATTATGTCGTCTGACTTATGAAAGTCATCCTGATGTCTTGTTCGTCTTGTTTTTCTTGTAGTCCGGCTGCATCGTTCTCCCAGTTGTTTGTGTTGTTCAGCATATCGTCTTATAACATTCTCAAACACACAGATCATTCTCCAATACACAAACTGAATATCAAATATGAAGCTAACTTTACCGCGGTGAAAAAATGAAAGCATATCGGAGAATGAATGGTGTATTTAAGAATGATACAAGATATGCAGAACACCACAAATGGAGAATGATACAGCTGCACTATAAGAAAAACAACAAGATGACATTTATAACAGTCAGACAACATCAGGACAACACACAACGACGCAAATGACAAGGACAAGTCATGTGTCTGAAGGTGTAACATTTTACAAACTGCATTCATACAAGAAAACAGAAGTACAGTTTAAAGTTGAACTGTTTTGTCAGGTGTGCAAATCAACAGAATCTCATTGTCAAAACAGTAGTCAGGTCTTAAGTTCAGTTCAAAGTTGAAGGGAGACAAACGTTTAGTCGACATGGATAGCATGCATATCGACATAAGTTACAAGTGTCCGCGATTTGACAGGCTCTCCGCCCAATCAGCATCAGTGATGATCAGAAGATAGATACCTTTTCTATTTTCAATGCCGCTAATGTTGTAGTGTTCTCATTTGCAGGCTTGTTTTGCCCTTCAGGGCTTCCGCAGAATACAGACATTACAATTTTATTTCATTTCTCTCATTTCTCATAAATAAAAACATAGCTCAGGTGGCCCCATGTGGGAGCTGCCCTCCAAGCTGGCGGCGAGCAGATTATCTGAGCTTGAGACCCCTGATTTGGAGGCTGGGTATCAGGAAGGAGGGATCTGAGGAAGGTCAATTATATCCATTCTCCGCATTATCTGGAGACGACACTGAGGGGGCGGGGGGGTGACTGGGGGAAGATGCTGAGGGAGGAGGTTCTGTCCGGCAGGATCACCGTCTCAGCGAGCATCCCGGCTGGATTCATGTGAAATGCGCATGAGGAGGAGGAGACCTGCAGATTTCCCTGTGCGAAGCAAGACTGGAGATGCTGATGGAGTCTCGGGGTGTGCTGACAGCGGGAAAACAGCCACTGTCATTCATAAAGGGGGGGGGTCCAGGTGATCAGCTCTTACATAAACGAGTGTGGTGCTTCTGGGGGATAATGGAACAGACAGCAGATGCCCCCGTCCCCACATGGTCACATTTGGACATCTCTGCTCCTGAAAAGGCTAACCTGGAGTTGCCCCGCCAGGACAGTAAGAGGCACTCCCCCAAGGGCACGTAGGGGGTCGCCCCACCAGGACAGTAAGAGGCACTCCCCCAGGGGCACGCAGGGGGTCGCCCCGCAAGGATACTAAGAGGCACTCCCCCAGGGGTACGCAGGGGGTCGCCCCGCCAGGACAGTAAGAGGCACTCCCCCAGGGGCACGCAGGGGGTCGCCCCGCCAGGACA